TAGAGTTGAGGGTCCATTTCTGGGCTCTCTATTCTGGTCCATTGATCTATGTTTCTGTTTTTGTGCCAGTACCATAGTGTCTTGATGATGACAGCTTTGTAATAGAGCTGGAAGTCCGGAATTGTGATGCCACTAGCTTTGCTTTTCTTTTTCAACATTCCTCTGGCTATTCAGGGTCTTTTCTGGTTCCATACAAATTTTAGGATTATTTGTTCCATTTCTTTGAAAAAAGTGGATGGTATTTTGATAGGGATTGCATTGAATGTGTAGATCGCTCTAGGTAGCATTGACATCTTCACAATATTTGTTCTTCCAATCCATGAGCATGGAACGTTTTTCCATTTCTTTGTGTCTTCCTCATTTTCTTTCATGAGTATTTTATAGTTTTCTGAGTACAGATCCTTTGCCTCTTTGGTTAGATTTATTCCTAGGTATCTTATGGTTTTGGGTACAATTGTAAATGGGATCAACTCCTTAATTTCTTTCTTCTGTCTTTTTGTTGGTGTATAGGAATGCCACTGATTTCTGTGCATTGATTTTATATCCCGCCACTTGACTGAATTCCTGTATGAGTTCTAGCAGTTTTGGGGTGGAGTCTTTGGGTTTTCCACATAAAGTATCATATCATCTGCAAAGAGTGAGAGTTTAACCTCTTCTTTGCCTATTTGGATGCCTTTTATTTCTTTTTGGTGCCTGATTGCTGTGGCTAGGACTTCTAGTACTATATTGAATAGCAGTGGTGATAGTGGACATCCCCTGCTGTGTTCCTGACCTTAGGGGGAAAGCTCTCAGTTTTTCCCCATTGAGAATGATATTCGCTGTGGGTTTTTCATAGATGGCTTTTATGATATTGAGGTATGTACCCTCTATCCTTATACTCTGAAGAGTTTTGATCAAGAAGGGATGCTGTAATTTGTCAAGTGCTTTTTCTGCATCTATTGAGAGGATCATATGGTTCTTGTTCTTTCTTTTATTACTGTATTGTATCACATTGATTGATTTGTGGATGTTGAACCAACCTTGCAGCCCAGGAATAAATCCCACTTGGTCGTGGTGAATAATCCTTTTAATGTACTCTTGTATTTTGCTGAGAATTTTTGCATCCATGTTCATCAGGGATATTGGTCTGTAATTCTCCTTTTTGATGGGGTCTTTGTCTGGGTTTGGGATCAAGGTAATGGTGGCCTCATTAAATGAGTTTAGAAGTTTTCCTTCCATTTCCATCCATTTTTTGGAACAATTTCAGAAGAATAGGTATTAATTCTTCTTTAAATGTTTGGTAGAATTCCCCTGGGAAGCCATCTGGTCCTGGGCTCTTGTCTGTTGGGAGATTTTTGATGACTGCTTCAATTTCCTTGGTGGTTATAGGTCTGTTCAGGTTTTCTATTTCTTCCTGGTTCAGTTTTGGTAGTTTATACATCTCTAGGAATGCATCCACTTCTTCCAGATTATCTAATTTGCTGGCATATAGTTGCTCATAATATGTTCTTATAACTGTTTGTATTTCTTTGGTGTTGGTTGTGATCTCTCCTCTTTCATTCATGATTTTATTTATTTGGGTCCTTTCTCTTCTCTTTTTGATAAGTCTGGCCAGGGGCTTATCAATCTTATTAATTTTTTCAAAGAACCAGCTCCTAGTTTTGTTATCTGTTCTACTGTTCTTTTGGTTTCTATTTCATTGATTTCTGCTCTGATCTTTATTATTTCTCTTCTCCTGCTAGAACTCAATCACAAGAGAAAAGTCAGAAAGAATTAAAATACACAGAGGCTAAAGAGCATCCTACCCCACCTCCCCTCTGGCTGCTACTCTCTGCTCTTCCCTTGTCCTAATCACCCCAGGTACCTACACGCCCCCACTGAAATAATTCAAACTGGCCAATTCTAAACCTGCCTACCCTCCTTCGTCTGTTCTTTTCCATATAGAAACCACAATAAAGGCTTTTGCCCACATTTTCCTCCCACCTCTTTAGCCTCCTGACCAACCCTGGTGCTTCCCCCATGTGGCGCTGCCTGGCCGGGCATGGCATGCGTGCACCTCAGGAACAGTGCATAACAAGCTCTCTTTTCAGTGGCAATCATCTCTTGCTGTCACCATACCTAAACAGTAAATAAAACCTACATTTTAAAACAGAGGCAAAGAAAACAAGGTAGGGTATGGAGCAGGGAGCGGCTACCATTCTCTCGCTGGCGGAGACCCAGGTGAAGTTGAGCTTCTTTTTTTTTTTTAAAGATTTATTTATTTATTTGAGAGAGAGAGAGACAGCAAGAGAAGGAATACAGGCAGGGGGAGTGGGAGAGGAAGAAGCCTGATGCGGGACTCGATCCCAGGACTCTGGGATCATGACCTGAGCTGAAGGCAGATGCCTAACGACTGAGCCACCCAGGTGCCTGGAGGTTGAGCTTCTCCTCCTGGACTTGTGCGGTGGGAGCAAACTTCCTTCCCTTGTCCTAGACCATCTTTCCCTCACCTCATCCATGTAAGGACAGAACTGGCCAAGGCAGAGAGGGGGTGTCAAAGAGACAGAAGTCAAGGGCAATGGCTATACTTCAAGCCTGAGGGTTGTACCATTGATAGATAAGGGAAATCAGGAGATTTGGCTTTTTGATGGGAAGAATCTAGATACCACATCTACCAGCAGAGAAAACGCTTTTAAGAACCTTTAGCAAACCTTTAAGCAGATACTTGAGAAATCACATCAGATGACTAACCTTAGTAAAATAGAGGGAATAGATAACTAGTTTTAAATCAGAAAGTTTAGCTGTTTGGGTATAGTCAGGATAACTTCTGAAGAGAAGGAAGAAGGGACTTCATTTGTACTATTAATGCTGATTTCCTCAGCTAGGTGGTGGTTACATGTGTATTCTTTATGTTAACATTTGTAATATTTTGAATGTCTTGAATATTTCCTAATGATTTAAAAAAGTGTATTGGGAGATTGTTGGGCAAGGAGGTAGTGTGAATAATTATGTAGGCAATTAATAATAATAAATCTCTCCATAATTGTCCACGAAACATTTACAAAAATAGGGGTTTTTTTATTTAACAAAATACTATCTATGCATATTTTTAAAAGCCAAACAGTACTATTAGGTTTATAAGGAAAAACAGTTATCCCTACGTCCATGACCTGCTGTCCGAAGGGAACTATTATTAAGTCTTTTGGCTATTTTGGTGTTACCCTGAATGTTTCTAAGAAGAATATTTCTACAGTGCTGTTTATTCTTGATTTTTCATTTTTAGGTAATTATATATTGGCTTTTGCTATGGAGGATAAGCATTTTTACCTCTCTCAACCTTCCCATACGTATCTTCTCCCCAACCTTTCCAATAAACTGATATCACAAGGGAAAAAAAAAAAAAAGAAGAGCATCCTACTAAAGAATGAATGGGTCAACCAGGAAATTAAAGAAGAATTAAAGAATTCATGGAAAGAAATGAAAATGAAAACACAACCCTTCAAAATCTTTGGGATGCAGCAAATGCAGTCCCAAGAGGAAAGTATATAACAATACAAGACTTTCTCAAGAAACAAGAAAGGTCTCAAATGCACAACCTAACCCTACACCTAAAGGAGCTGGAGAAAGAACAGCAAATAAACCTAAATCCAGCAGGAGAAGAGAAATACAGTTTATTTTTTAGAGCAGTTTTAGGTTTACAGAAAATTGAGCTGAAAGTACAGTTCCCATATACCTCCTCTACCTATCACCTCCTCACCCTTCCTACACAGTTTCCCCTATTATTAACATCTTGTATTAGTGTGATACATTTGTTACACTTGATGAACCAATATTGATGCATTATTATTAACTAAGGGCCATAGTTTATACTAGGGTTCACTTTGTGTTGTATGTCCTATGTTTTTTGGCTTTTGTTTTTTTAACTGAAGTATAGTTGACATACAATGTTACATTAGTTTCAGGTATCCTATGGGTTTTTACAAATACATCTATCATTAGAGTGTCATACAAATAGTTTTACTCCTCTAAAATATCCCATGCCACAGCCTTCTCCTTCCAAATTCCTGGAAGACACTTTTCTTTTCACTGTCTCAGTAATTTTGTCTTTTCCAGGATCTTTGTTGTGACTTTGTAAAATTAGCATTTGTTAAGTATAGTCCCAGAGTGTCAAATGGTGGGCCCTGGTTCAACTAAAGACCACAAGGGAATTCAAATAGAGAAATGCATTACTCATAGGTCATGGAGGAAGTGCACAGCATACCTTGAGGGGCCACATGGAGTGGTCAAGGCAGACTACAGGCGGAGAGTGCCAGGATCTAGGGCACATGTTTATATTAAGGTCCAGAGGTGGAGTACTTTGGGGTTCCCAGATTATAGTCAGATTGGTCAATTCACACCAAAACAGCAGGGTTTTGATAAGATACACTGTGTCTCATCTCAGGGGTACACAAGGGGAGGGCCCTGACAGGCAGGGGAGACTTTATCACAACGGCTATTGGGGAAGCCGTTTCAGGAACTTATATTTACTTGTGACTCTGCAGGCTGTTATTTGGGGCATGTGCTTCCATGAGGGGCTAATGTCAGTTTAAGGCCCCTGAAGGCCACTTGGCCAAACAAAATGGATGCTAAGGCAGCCATACCGTGGAGCAGCTTAGTTCAATTCTCAGCAGTCATATAGTTGGAATCATGCAGTATGTAGTCTTTTTAGGCAGGCTTCTTTCACTTAGTAATATTCACTTAAGGCTTCTTCATGTCTTATTTCTTTTAATCACAAGATAATATTCCACTGTATTAATATACTACAGTTTGTTTATTCCTTCACCTATTGAAGGATATTTTGGTAGCTTCCAAGTTATAGTAAGTTATGACTAAACCTTCGTGTATAGGTTTTTGTGTGAGGTAAGATTTCAACTCATTTGGGTAAATACCAAGGAATTCAATTTTTGGATCATATGGTAGGCCAATGTTTAATTTTTTAAGAAACTGTCAAGCTGTCAAACTGTCTTCCGATGGGGCTGTACCATTTTTTGCATTCTCACCAGCAGTGAATGAGAGTTCCTCTTGCCCCATATCCTTACCAGTGTTTGGTATTGTCAGTGCTCTGGATTTTCACCATTCTAAGAGGTATGTAGTGTTGTTTTAATTTGCAATTCCCAAATCACATATGATGTGAAGCATCTTTTCATATGCTTATTTGCCATGTGTATATCTTATTTGATAAGATATCTAATCAGTTCTTTTCTTATTTTTTAATTGGGTTGATTGTTTTCTTATTGATGAGTTTAAAGAGTTCTTTGTATATATATATATTTTAAAGATTTTATTTATTTATTTGACAGAGAGAGACACAGCGAGAGAGGGAACACAAGCAGGGGCAGTGGGAGAGGGAGAAGCAGGCTTCCCGTGGAGCAGGGAGCCCGAGGCGGGGCTCGATCCCAGGACCCGGGGATCATGACCTGAGCCGAAGGCAGACGCTTAACGACTGAGCCACCCAGACACCCCAGTTCTTTGTATATTTTAGATACAAGTTCCTTATTGGATGTGTGTTTTGCAAATATTTTCTCCTTAAGTTAATTTTTGTGAAAGGTGTATAGTCTGTCTGGATTCTTTTTTTTTTTCATTTGGATATCTAGTTGTTCCAACCCTATTTTTGAAAAGATTCTATTTTCTCTATTGAATTGCTCTTGTTTCTTTGTCAAATCTCAGTTGATTGTATTTGTGTGGGTCTATTTCTGGACTCCATTCTGCTTCTTTGATCTATTTGTCTATTCTTTTGCCAGTACCACACAGTCTTGATTACTGTAGCTTCTTTCTGTTTTTGATTTCTAATTTAACCCCATTTGTATGACTTAAATCCTTTTTAATTAATTAGTTAATTAATTAATTAACTTATTTCATGGCTTAACATATGATCTATCCTGGAGAATGTTCCAAGTGTGGTTGAAAAGAATTTATATTCTGCTGTTAATGGGTGTTAGGTCAAATGGGTTGATAATTTTTTTTTTTTTTTAATTTGAGAGAGAGAGAATGAAAGACAGAGAGCATGAGAGGGAGGAGGGTCAGAGGGAGAAGCAGACTCCCCGCCGAGCAGGGAGCCCGATGCGGGACTCGATCCCGGGACTCCAGGATCATGACCTGAGCCGAAGGCAGTCGCTTAACCAGCTGAGCCACCCAGGCGCCCCGTATTTTTTAAGCTGTATATATTCTTGCTGATTTTCTTTCTAGTTTTTCTATCAATTTTTGAAAGCAGAGTATTGAACTCTACAACTGTTGTTGAATTTTCTGTTTCTACCTCCAATCTTGTCAATTTTAGTTTCATATATTTGGGACTCGATTGCTGGGTGTTTATAGCTTGTAATTATTTGTTTCTGCTAAGTCGATCCTTTCATCATTATAAAATGTCTCTCCTATCTAGTGGCAAGTTTCCCTTAAAGTCTGTTTTGTCTTTTACTAGTATAGCTTCTCCAGCTCTTTTTGGGTACTATTTGTATTACATGTTTTTTTCTATCTTTTTATTTTTAACCTATTTTTTTAAATTTAAGCAGTCTTTTATAAACTGCATATAATTGGATCATGGGTTTTTTTTTTTAATTAATCCATCCTACCTGTTTCTGCAATTTGGATCAGAGCATTTAATTATTTACATTCAATGTACTACTGATAAAGTAGGATTTATACCTGCCATTTGTTGTTTGTTTTCTCTATGCCTTTTTTATCCCTGTTCCTCCATTACTTCCTTCTATGGTGTTAAATAGATACTTTCCAGTGTACCATTTAAATTCCCTTTTGTATTTTTAAATATTTCACCAGGCACCCGTATGTGTGTGTAGCACATCTGGTGGGTCTCTACCATCCTCTGGGTCAATGCCCTGCAGAGGTCCCTGGTGCTGGGAAAGAGCCAGACCTGTGTGCTTGGAGGATCTGTGGTGGGCTGGGACACGCGGATGCCCAGGAGCTGAATACACACTACCCTACGACCTCTTCTGTGGTCTCTGTTCCATTGCTGCTTTCCTGGGCTCCCTGGCGTAGCCTCCATTCACTGGACCATTAGAGGAGTTGCAGCTCAAGCTGGCTTCAGGGGAAGAGGACAGAGAAAACTGCAAGGTCAGCTTCCCCTATTCCACCCTTGCTCAGATACCAGGGTCACACTGTGCCTCTTTTTTCTTAAAGTTACTTTCTTAGTGGTGGCCTTGGGTATGATAACTAGCATCCTAATTTAAAGTGATCCAGCTTAGGGGTGCTGGGTGGCTCAGTCGGTTAAGTGTCTGCCTTTGGCTCAGGTCCTGATCCCAGAGTCCCGAGATTGAGCCCTGCATCGGGCTCTCTTCTCAGTGTGGAGCCTGTTTCTCCCTCTGCCTGCCTGTGCTCTCTCTTGCTCTCTCTCAAATAAATAAATAAAATCTTTCTAAAAAATGTAATCTACCTTAGATTAATATTAGCTTAATTTCAATAGTATACAGAAACTTTGCTTTAATACAGCTCTATTCCCTCCCTTCTCTTATGTAGTATTATTGTTATACAAATTACATCTTTATACATTATAAGACAATACAGGTTTATATTAATTGCTTTATATAGTTGTCTTTTAAATCAGATAGAAGAAAAAAAACCTACAAAATTTCATTTGTACTATGTTTTATGTTTATCTGTATAGTTACCTGACGGATACTCTATTTCTTCATGCGAGTTTTAGTTACCCTCTAGTGTCTTCTCATTTTAGACTGAAAGCCTTCCATTAGGACAGAAGTGATGGTTGTGAATTCTTTTAGCTTTTGTTTACAGTCAATATCTTAATTTTTTTGTAATTCTGCAGAATAATTTTGCCGGATGTAGAATTCTTGGTTGGTGGTCTTCCCCTCAACCCCCACAGCACTTTAAATATGTCATCCCACTGCCTCTGGCCTCCATAGTTTCTGATGAAAAGTTAGCATTAATCTTATTGAGAATTTCTTATTCATGATAAGTTGTTTTTTTCTCTTGAGGCTTTCAAGATTCTCTCTTTGTCTATGTCCTCCTACAGGCTGACTATGATGTGCTTAGGTGCAGATGTCTCAGCATATTCTATTTGGGGTTCATTTGTTTTTCATCAATTTGGGGAAGTTTTCAGTCATTATTTCTTTAAATATTCTTTCTGCCCATTTCTCCTCATTCTTTCTAGTACTTCCATTACATGCATATGTTAGTATGCTTACTGGTATCATACAGGTCTCTGAGGCTCTGTTCATTTTTTAAATTATTTTTTTTCTCTTCAGGTTATATAATCCTAACTGATCTATTTTCTTTTTTCTTTTCTTTCCTTTTTTTAAAAAAATATTTTATTTATTTATTTGACAGAGAGAGACATAATGAGAGAGGGATCACAAGCAGGGGAGTGGGAGAGGGAGAAGCAGGCCTCCCGCTGAGCAGGGAGCCTGATGAGGGGCTCGATCCCAGGACCCTGGGATCATGACCTGAGCCAAAGGCAGACGCTTAATGACTGAGCCACCAGGTCACTTGATGGACTCTGAAAAACAAACTGAGTGTTCTAGAGGGGAGGTGAATGGGGGGATGGGTTAGCCTGGTGATGGGTATTAAGGAGGGCACGTTCTGCATGGAGCACTGGGTGTTATGCACAAACAATGAATCATGGAACACTACATCAAAAAACTAATGATATAATATATGGTGATTAACATAACAATAAAAAATTAAAAAAAAACAAAGATAAGAGATATGTCGGATGAGAAGAATGCATTGGAGATGGTGCCTTCGAGGTGCTCTTAGTTTGTCCCTTTTCAGGGGCTGTAGTACTGCTGGTTTTCACAGCTACCATGATATCAGGGCTGCTGGTTTTCAAGGCTACGCTGGAGCTGGGGAAGGGAGGATGGGAGTAGGCCAAGTTAAAAAACTCACAAAGTTCAGACATTATTCTTTTTTTTTTAATTTTAACTTTTATTAATTTTTATTTTTTAAAAAGATTTTAGTTATTTATTTGAGAGAGAGAGAGAATGAGCATGAGTGGGAAGAGGGTCAGAGGGAGAGGGAGAGAATCTCAACCCCGATCATGACCTGAGCTGAAACCAAGAGTTAGACGCTTAACCAACTGAGCCACCCAGGTGCCCCTAGACATTTTTCTTGAGTAAATTCTCCTCAGATTGTTACAAGTCTTATATTAGCTTCTAAAGTAAAGTAAAGGTTGATTTTGACAAACTTTCCAGCATTTTGCTGCTTTTATTGAGGAGCAGACAAGTGGGGATCCTCAATCTGCCATTGTGGCTATCAAAGTTATTTTTTAAGTCAGTGCTACAAAAAGTAGAGTTTAAACATTAAGATCATGGACTCTGGAGTAAGATATAACTAGAGGCACATGAATTGGACACATTCCTGAACTTCTACAAGGCTTTTTTGGCGTATCTGTATAATTGAGTTAATGATATACATACACTCAATAAGATTGGCACCTTTTGATCTGCCATCATGACAGATCTTCTCTTAGTAGATCACTTATAGAAAAAGAAAAATAAAGATAAAAAGGAATAATGCTGCAAACCCTTGAGGGTGGCATGTCACTGTAAAATTTGATGTCCTTCAAAATGTCTCCTCTGCGGATCCCCGTCTCCCGTTTCTTAAGTTATGTGTAAGAAGGCGCAGGCATGGCATTTTCTCATTTAGCCTTCTCATTTAGCCTTCTAGAGTTTCTGTCCAATGGCTGAGCTTGCCTATATATATGCTGTGTGGAAGATATTCCTTTGGGCTCTGTAGGAGCTATGTCAGTGAACCTAATACTGGATGATTTGCACATTTTCCCTTTTGATGTAATAGTACCACATAGTATTTTCAGGTAAATGCCCCTCAGACCAGGGATACTGTTTACAGTGCTTCCCCTGAGTTTGGAGAATCTCTGATAGTCTTGAGAAAACCAAAATGGGTATTGATACCCCAGATCAAGTCTCTTTTTTCACATTCTTCATTTTCAGAATCACAGACATACCTGAATACTGCAGGATTCCAGGGATGTATGAGATGGCATAGTCTTTTGCTTTTGTATCAATCAGAGCAGCAGAACCACTAGGAAATCTGTATCTATATCTTTGTCTATTTACCTATATCTATATCTGCATCTATATCTACATCTACTTATATATCTATTTATCTTTATATCTTTAGCTGTGTCTAGATCTAAATCTTTATCTAATTACATACCTCTATAATTACAAGGATTTTTTGTTATAGAGATCTGACATTATGCAGTCATGGAAACTGATTAATTAGTCTCTATTAAGGCTATTGTCTTCAAGTCTGCTGCTGGGAAGTTGAAGTTCAAGTAATCCAGAAGCAGTGACAGGTGTAAAAGAGGGAAGAACAAGAATAGGCTGGAACCTATAGGGATTCTCTTAGATCCCGCAAGAATGAACTGAAATCTGTGTCAGTTCTCATTATCACTATCCTTGATGGTGTGGCCAAATTGCAGAAGTTGGGGCCCTTCATCATAGAGCTAAACACACACTTGACCCTGAACTTGACTGTGGATTAATAACTCTTCATTTTCCTCTCAGCCCCTGGTAATCACCATTCCAGTCCTTGATTTTATAAATTTGACTATTTTAGATTCCTCGTATAAGTGAAATCATGTAGTACTTGTCTCTCTGTGTCTGGTTTACTTCTCATACTTTGTTTCTATCTTAAGGTGAGCTTTCTGGTCTCCTTCCCCCACTCCCAGGTCTTTGCTCTCTGGGATGGGATGAGAGGCATGGTTTCATTTGGGAGAGGACCTGGTCATGTTTACTGAGATCTATACAATATTTTCTGTGGATTTCCTTGGATGCAATCTGCCAGAAAATAGCCACAACCAGAACAAAAACATAAACAATTTTGTTTTCATTCACTCCTAAAGGATAATTTGGAAATAACTTACTTCTGAGGCTGGTGGTGTGCCCCAGGCTTATAAGGCTTTGTCGACACTCAGAGCAATGCTTTGCACTGTAAAGTCAAAATATATAAGAGCTACTAAGGCCCAGGCCTTGCTCAGATGTTCAGAAACTTCCTTACCTCTGTCTGTGGGGTCAAGCTTTCTCCTGTACTTCAGGTTCACATCTTTCTGCATGTGACCCAGGCTACCAGAATGATGGCTGGTTAAGGGACAGTCTTATGTTGCAGGGTATTTCACTCTCCCACCTTATTAATTGGCTTCCATGAGCCTGATGGAAAGTAAATACTTTGTTTCTTGAGAGCTTGATGATAAAAAATGGGAGGAAGAAGAAGTAGGTTAAGTAAGAGGAAAGTAAGCGAGTTGATTCCTCAGTGTTTATGGGAGGAAGTCAATAGATGCTTTCCAAAGTTGAGATATTTATGAATAAAAGTCTTTTCATATTATTTAGAGTTATGGAGGCAACTACCACAAGGAACTAAAACCATACATAAATGGTTTGTTTCCAGAGAAAAGAACCAGAATGTGTTTGGGAAGGAGTGAAATAGAGTAAGAAATTCCTGTGTTTTGTTGTAATACCCTGTTTTTTAAGATTCCTTTTTTCCAGCTGAATGTATTATTTTGATAATAATTAAGAAACAAGTTAAACTGCACCCTTCCAAGTAACTTTACACTTTTTTGCTTGGATGCATCACATATATTTTGTCAGTGATTGAAAATAGGCTATATTTAACAAGGTGGAGCAAAAAGGATAGCACTTTTTTATTTCAGAGAATCCATGAACATCCTTTTCAGCAATACGGGCAAAAAAGTTCAGAAATTATGATTTATACACATTTTTAAAAATATTTTAATTACAATGGATAAAGGGAAGAAGATGCAACTCAAGAGAATGTTTGGATATTGCTGGGGCACAAGTTTTTAAATCATTAATATAATTGGTATAGCACTTTTTGTGGCCCCCAAAGGGATATTGAAGTACTTTTGCATGAATGTGGGGCTCTCCCTGTGTATTTGGGCTGCTTGTGGCCTGTTGTCAATGATGACCACTCTCTGCTCAGCAGAGATAGGTATAACCTTCCCACACAGCAGAGCTCACTACTATTTTCTCAAAAGATGTTTCGGCAACTTGATCTCTTTCCTGAATCTCTGGACAGCTTTGTTTCTGGGGCCAGGGTTAGCTGCCAGCCAAGCCCTACTCCTCGCTGAGTATAGCACTGAACCTTTTTATCCCAGCTGCTCTGCTCCAAAGCTGCCGAAGAAATGTCTGGCGCTAGCCATGTTGCGGACTGTGGGACTTCTGAATTCTCGCGGTGTGGAAGAGGTGACTTGGCTTCAGACAGCCAGCCTAGTGCTGAAAACGGCCCCACTAGGCCTTATTTCCCTGAGTGGAGAGGTCCTGCTGTTGAGAGGAAGGAAGAGCTTTCAGAACTCTTGATACTGAGTTTCCAGAAGCCTCTGGTTTATAGACGCTGTTTTCCAAGGATATTTTGCGTTCTCAGGTGGGGGATGTTTTACATTTATAGCAGTAATTACCAATTCATTGAGAAAGAAAATCTCAAGTCATGACTTACTGCATGCAATGTGAAATGTACATCTTCTTTTTTATATTTTGAATTTTATTTTAAATACGTGATGATTCAGTGTTTGTTCTTCTTTCTTACTTTCTAAATTGAGTCAGAATATGGCAGTCTTGCACTTATCACCCAGTCTTAATGTTTTCCCCCATTCATTCCAAAGTGCTTATTTTATTGAACGACTTCTCTTTTTCAGCTTTCTTTCCTGGGCCCACAGATATGGGATCTCCATGTTAATCTAGTTTCCTTTCTGTTAATGGATGAATTCTGGGGTTGTGGACATGTTCCTCAGGAGTGATCCAATGCCAGACTGTGTTTGTGTTGTGAGTGGGTGTGACACACTTATGTTCTGAAGTACTTTTCAAGAGAAGAGAATCATAAGTATAATTGCTCAGAGGCTGGATTTAACACTCTTCCCTTCAATGTCAAGACAAAAGATTTCTCTCTTCATTTTTGGAATCAGTCTCTTCCTTTGAACCCTATTCTTTCTCTTTCACCTCCTCAGGGATCTTCCTTATTCGTTTATTTAATTTTTTTCAACTTCAACCTTTTTACCAGTTCTTTTCCTTGACATTTCAACATGAAGTAGGCTTTACTCTTAAAACACGTATTTCTTTTAATCATAGGGATCCCCTGAGTCACTGATGTGTCTGTCCCTTATGCATTAGATAATTTGGTCAGCAAATATCTTTTTAAACACTGACCATTTTTGAAACACTGTAGTAGTTCCTTAAGATGAATAAGATATTCTTTACCCCAAAGAGGCTAACAGTCTAATGGAAAAGGCAGTATCTAAATTTTGGTCTGACCTCTGCCACTTATGAGCTGTGGCAAATATCTTCACTTCTTTGGACTTACTTTTTTTTTTTTTTCTCCTTCATCTGAAAAATGATCATTATGGTCTAAGATCAGTATAATTCTGTGCTTCTAAACCATGGAATGATGGTATTTAATAAGTGGTAATAAGAGAACAATGTGATTACTGTGAGAATCCAGCAGATGGTAAGATCACCTTTTATTGTGTTATCAGAAAGGTGGCAACTTTCACTGAACTCAAAAAATTCCAGCAGCGGGATGCCTGGGTGGCTCAGTTGGTTAAGTGTCTGCCTTCGGCTCAGGTCAGGATTCCAGGGTCCTGGGACCCAGCCTTGGCATCGGGCTCCCTGCTCAGCAGGAAGCCTGCTTCTCCCTCTGCCTGCCGCTCCCCCGGCTTGTGCTCTCTCTCTCTCTGTTAATAAATAAATACAATCTTAAAAAAAATTCCAGCAGTAAAATAATATGAGTGAAGCCATGGAGAACAGAAATATGCAGGTGCATGTAAGACACAGCATATAACCTTGGGTGATTGCAAAATGGTTTCCATCTGATGAGCTGGTTAATAGATAGGATTACTAAGGAAAGTACATAGAGAGAAGTAGAATAAAACGGCATAGGGTTGGAGACTGGAGAAGGCCAACTTTTAGGGGGTAGGTGGAGAAAGAAGATGCAATGAAGAAGCCAGAGGAGGTTGAGAGAATTATAAAAGAAAATCACTCTATGTTCCAAAAAGAGGGTGTAATCAACATGGTGAAGGGCTTCAGAAGTTGAGAAGTGTGAGAATTGAGCAGAAGCCATTTCACTAAGTAAGAAGTCATTGGCAAACTTTGGACATGAGAGGAAAATCAGTCCGCATTGAGTTAAACAGGGAAGTATTGAGAAAAGAAAGTTTGTGATTAAATGTACCACTGCAACTTGAGAGGCTAGCATAATCCGCTTGACTTTCCCTCTCTCTCTCACTTTTATCACTCTCTCTTATTGGGATAGAAGAGATATCTCTGGCTTCTGTTTTATTCATCTTGTTCCAAAGCCAGAGATGTTTCACTGCTAGATAATTTTTCTCTGCTGAAGATAGATTTACAGAATTTACTAACCTATAAACTCTTCACAAGCACCTGGCAGTAAACAAAAATTTTCAGGAGGAATTTCAGAGTATGCTAGCATTGTTAATTTACTTAATAAGCTTTAAGTACAGCTAAGTTCTAAGTAATACTTTTACCTGTAAAATGGTGATATATAGGCAGCTGACTTAGCATATTGTAGGAACATCTATCTTCCAAGTTCAAGACCAAGGATATTCACTGTCTGGCTATTATAACCTTGAATTGTTATGTTATGTTATGTTATGTTATGTTATGTTATGTTATGTTATGTTATATTCCTTCCTCTCTATAAATCTAATACATAATAAGAAAGAGTAAAAGGCCCAGAGGAAAGTGTAGTTAATCCTAAAAGTTGCCTTTTTGCTTGTTCAAAACCTTTGATTAATAACCATAGTCATTAATAACTTATTAAGTGCTAGGCATTTGATTGGAATTTTATTGTCCCCATATTTTCCATTCTCCCCAATATACAGGTAAGGAAATTGAAACCTTAACAGTCAATAAATTGTCCAGAATCCCACAACTAGTAAATGGTTCAGGCATCATTTAGCTGAGAACATTGGAATTCTTTACTCTTTAAGTGCTTAATCAGCTTATATTAGTGTATACCATGGACATTACATTCTACCTGTGGGCAGATGCAGATAAAACAGATTTGACATATGTCAAAGGACAGATATTTATTAGTCAGAGGGATTAGGTTTTAAGTAACAGAAACCCACACACATTGGCTTAAGCAGTAAAAGAAGAACTTGCTGGAAGAATAATGCTGTTTTTCAAGGAAAACATGAGCAACCAATCTTCAGGAGCAATAGGACTTAGGGAAGCTCCAGGACTTAAAAACTAGACTTATCAGCCACCTTTCTTTTTTGCTACTGTTATGTTGTTTTTTTCTTCTTTCTCTCGGTTTTGTTGGCATTTGGTTCAAATTCTTAAGAGGAATCTTCTTGTATACTGGCAGGGATTGGCTTTCAGTGAGTCAGAGGTCTGTACTCGGTTCTATTACCAGTAGCCAGGGCACAGGGTCACATTATATACACGTAACTCTAATGTCAATTCTTTATGTCAGGGACAATTTTTAGAGAATGGCAAAACTGGGGAAAATGGTGTGACAAATGGAACAATATTTGAGAACAAGACTGTCCTAGAAAATCTATTACCTATGATGCTAAATCATGACCCCTTTTCTTTTTTGCACTTAATAGTGACATTAAGGGAAGGCAAAGAGCCTACAGGAAAAGAGAATTTATGACTTATTCTTTTACTCTTTTCATATATGCTATGAAAATGTATACTAGGACAGTTTTGCTAGTCAAGGAGACCTTCCTCTTCTATGTTCCCAGGAGAAGTTATGATTTTGCCGAGATCTGAAGGGAGAGTGTCAGCTCAGCAACTAGGAAAGGAAAGAACATTCCACATGAGAGAATGGGTATAGAGGCCATGACACTTTTGAGAAACTGAAGAAAAGCCCATGGGCCTATGACACAGATAGCAAACGGGATCATCAAATTATCATATATCCTCAAAGCACTTTATCTTTTTTCATGTGGATATTTACCACAGTCACTATTATCACTTTTATTTATGTGATTATTTAATTCATGCATAGCTCTTCTTGAGGTTAGGCTTCCTGTTAGTTTTCACCCACTATCATATTCCACTACCCAGACTAAATGCCTTGTACCGAATAGATGAGGCTGAAGACACAGGTAGGCTCCAAACCATACAGGGTCCTATGGGCTCAGCTTTGATTTTTACTCTTGTGACTCTCTGCAGAAATGTTACCATCTCTAAGGAAAATGAAGAAAATTCCCCCCTTTTTCTGCATTATCACCGAGCTCAGAAAGGCAATAGTCGTGTAGTAGTTCACCAATGTGTTTGTGTGTATGTGTGTTAGTAAGTGTGGTGGTGCCCTGGGCACATTGGAAGAATTCGGCTCAATAGTTAATGCATGAAGTAGTTTTAAAGATAAATTTAAGACATAATTTTTACCCATTGTGATTTTGCTTTTTTATGTGTTACAGGGAGCTGAAGAAACCCAGAAAGATAATTCCAAGATGCATTTTTACTGCTTTACCTCTGGTGACTGTCATTTATCTACTGGTTACTATTTCCTACCTGCCTGTTCTGACACCCAAGGAAATTCTCTCTTCAGGTTTATATGCAAATGACTAAGGCAATAAATAATAATGACCGTTCTGGATATCAGTATCACTTTACCAAATGTACTGCGGTTTGTTTTTCATTATTTTATATAGAGAATCAACTTGTAATTCTCAAAAATAACAAAGGGGCCAAAGAGTATGATTTGGCTTAGGAAGGAGTTTTATAGTTAAGCATGATAATATGGAAAACCATATTTCTGATGATACGGAAAAATATATATAATGCTGACATACGATGCGGACTAGGTTCACTAGGTTCAAAATATTTGTATTCCTTTCATGATCTTTCCTCACCAGAGTAACATTATGTAATCAGTGCTTAGGTCTACTAAAACTTTTACCATGTTGATTTTCTTTTTTTTTTTTTTAAAGATTTTATTTATTTGTTTGACAGAGAGAGACACAGCGAGAGAGGGAACACAAGCAGGGGGAGTGGGAGAGGGAGAAGCAGGCCTCCCACCGAGCAGGGAGCCAGATGTGGGACTCCATCCCAGGACCCTGGGATCATGACCTGAGCCGAAGGCAGATGCTTAATGACTGAGACACCCAGGCGCCCCTACCATGTTCATTTTCTAAATGTTCTTCTACGTGACATAAAGAATGATAAACTTGAAATGTGGGATATTGGCAGTTAAAAGAGTAGATGTTAATGGCCAATTGATGGATATAATTAACAGTATTAATATGTAATATAATGTTGTTTATTATAAATGACTCTAAAATTAACGGTGACAAAGGGGCCCTGAACATATTGGAAATAAGAAACTTCTGAGATAAACTAGCATCCAGTACCATAAGGACTAATCTCTTTTGAGTAGCTATTACCGTTTTGGTAGATCTTTGAGGCACTGGAGGTAAATCTAAGAGAGGTTTAATATAAAAGTCCTAACATACCTCGCCTCCATTCTTGCGTTACTGCCGTGCCAGAAGCTGCCATATGCATGGTATCTGTATTGATTCACAATGGTCTAGCTCACTTAGGGACCTGTAAACTAGATATGATCAAGATTCGGAGCATTTGTGGGAACAAACCAAACACTAAATTGCATGAGAACAAGCAGTGATTTATTAACTACTTTGATTATGTAAAGAATAAATTTACAAAATTAATTATGGGTGTGGTCAGGACTGCTGATCAGCTGACCCAGACATTATGGTTCATTGAATCTGGCATCTGTTATGACTTCCAGTGCTCTGGTCTTACTGGTTGTTAAAAACTATGATTATCTTGTCTGGTGTGTCCTAATAGTTGCAGCAATTTTATGGGTGGTGCAATTGTTCCACACGTGTGGAAGATCCATGAAGTGTTTTGACCATAATGCTTGTAATTTGGTTTTTAATGCTTAGTCTTCTTGGTATATAATCCTTAGACAGTGTTTAGATTCTGAAATAATTTTCTTGAATTCAAATATCCATCTTTTACTGTATTAGGAATTTAAATGAAGACAATAATCAGAGCGGGGGCCTGGGTGGCTCTGTCGGTTGAACGTCTGCCTCGGCTCAGGTCATGATCCTGCAGTCCCGGGAGTTCCTACAGGTGGGAAATAGAAGAGGCAAGTGCTTCTGTGGGGTCACAAGTGAGAGCATTTCCTGTCCTGAAACATCAGCTCAATTTAATAATCAACAAATTCCATCCTTTCTACTTTACTTACTTTAAACTTACTTTGTGTCTGGATGAGGAAGATTTGCTTTTTTGTTGTTTTGTTTTGTTTTTTGTTTTCTTTACAGGAGAGCCCTTTAATCATAGAAAAGGAAATAAGCAAAACCTTGGCGGTGTAAGGATACTATTGGAGAAAAGTGGCCTTGATGCTCTGATTATCAGAATATCTGGACAGCCAGGTGAACCAAAATCATACATGATGAATATTGCTGGCATTATCACATTTAATCCTCTCAGTAAGACAAAAGTTGGATACTACTCTTATCCCTATTTTATAGATGAGGAAACTGGTTTAGAAAAGTTGTTACTCGCCCAAGTTCGCACAGCATGGAGTAGAGCCAAGATTGAAATCTAGGCAATCTCTTTGGAGTGTTTGCCTTTTAGCCCAAACAAATATAAGAGATATAAAATATAAGAAATTTAAAAAAGAACACAGGGAAGGGGCACCTGGGTGGTTCAGTCGGTTAAGTGTCTGACTCTTAGTTACGGCTCAGGTCATGATCTCAGCGTTGTGAAATGGAGCCCTGTCAGCTCTGCATTCAGCGGGGAGTCTGCTTGGATTCTCTCCCTCTCCCTCCCCCTCTGCCTCTTCCCCTGCTTGCTCTCTCTCTCTCTCTAAAATAAGTAAATAAAATCTTAAAAAAAAAAAAGGAAGAACATAGGGAAAAAGAAAGCAATGTTCTAACCATCAGCCTTGGTTGACTTAAAACCATCCTTCCTTTTCAGTCCTCCCTTCTTCTTCTTCCATCCAGCCATCCCCTAAATGTTGCATATTTGAGTATCAGTTATTGAGAGCAACTACATTTTAAGTACCTTACTAGGTATTCTGGGTGCAGAAAGGAGTAAGACGTGGCTCCTGCCCTTAGGCAGGGTATAATCTATCTGGACAGTCAGGTGAACCAAAAATCATAGTGTGATTATTGCCACATGGTGACCTCCAGAAGGTGTTCAGAAAATACATGGGGAAGGAGGAATCATCTTGTTAAACTTCTGATTCTCAGTTTCTTCAGATCTAAAATGGGAATAAATAATGCCTACCTCCTAGGAATATGAAATGTATTAAATGAACTAAGGCATGCAAACAATCCAGAGTCTGACATTGACAGTTATTATGATTTATATTATTATTTGATGCACATTTGCATCAAACAGAACGGCAAGGGCAACCATAAGTATAAGTAGTTAATGTTTGTCTTGAATGCCACATGAATACTCTTTTCTCTTCTCTCAGTTATTTGATAATTGATATTGAGCTGTGAGATGACAAGTTATCTTTTTCAGGGGTGTTTTACAAATTAAGAGGAGATTCTCTCTCTCTCTCTCTTTTTTAATATAAGCTCTGCACCCAGCATGGGGCTTGAACTCACCATCCTGAAATCAAGGGTCTCATGCTCTACTGACTGAGCCAGCCAGGTGCCCCAAGAGGAAATTCTTAATAAATTCCCAAAGGGAATGACCTTCTAATTAAAGGGTTTCATAAGTATGAATATAGCTATACTTTGGGGGTATAGATTTATATCTATTTATTACAGATGTATCAAAAGTGACTGCCTATTGAACTTTCTCCCTCGGTTGGGTAATGTTTGGTGCAGGACACTTAACAATCCTAATGCGGAGCAGGTACCAAGAATAGGGCTTCGAGTTTTTTGGCTAAAACAAAAACAAAACCCCAAAACCCACCAAAAATAGGGAGAATTGTCTTGGCCAAAGTTTTTTGTTTTGATTTTTTTTAATAGACTGAGCCTATAAAGTTATAATATTTACCTGTCGATATCTGCCTGAATAACAGGGGGTCTGAGGATACTCTGTGTTTTTGACATGAATTTCCTACTGAGATATTTTGAGATATTTTCCCAGGAAAATTGTAACTTTCTTTGAGCCCTACGAACTCCCTCTTAAGGAATTCATTCCACCTAGATCGGAAGATGATTATCTTACTGCCAAATGATCATGATTATTTCCACTGGTGAACAGTCAAACACTAGATGCTCATTCCCTTCAACCAATAATACCCTGACAATGAAAGTCTTAAACATTCTAACTACTAAGCCAGATTTATCTAAACTCAGATAATTTAGCCTATTTTCTATCATTAGTTTATATCTCACTTTTTGTTTGTATAAGTATTCCGATACATTATATGGGTTTTCATATCTTACTGTTTGAATTTTGCCTCTTTTTTCAGGTGTCTTTTCCATTACCATTGGTGACAATGGCCATCAGCCTATGTTTGGCTTTGATCCCTTTCGTGAAGTCTCCACATATGCATTATATCTATGTGTGTCGCTTTGTTCTCAGTGGACTTCTGTTTTACATACCTTTAATATATTTTAGATTGAGCCTGGTTTGGTTTGAAAAGATGAGATGCTATTTACAATTGCAGTTTAATATTTGCATCCCTGATGTGTCTGAAGAACAGATGTCGGAAGTAGAAACTGTTAAAAAAATAGCCTTTTAAACAAAGATTTTAAAAAAAGATCATGGAACAGTAATGATGAAATGCCCATGGTAACTTTCTTTCTCCAATGAATAGTGTATAGAGAGGTGCCCATGATAGTACCTAGCTTTAAAAACCATGCAGAAATCATTTTATAACTAAAGCTCTGTTTTGGTTTGCATTGCTTGATACATTGGTGATATTTTTCCCTCTTCCATTTTTTTTCCCATCATTCTTGAGTCCTTCTATTGGTGCTGATTTGAAGATAAAAGAATAACACTATTTGTCTTATTAGCTTTTCCCTACCAGTAGTATTTTTTCAACATAAAAGCTATTTTGAAGCATGTGTTTTAGGTTATTTGCCTTTGTACTCTTTCCTCTAAATTCTGAGGAGCCTTAGAAGAACAAGTTTACTATGTCTTCATTTGATTAAAATGTGACTTATTTACAGCTATGTAGTTGTATGTATAAAGTGTGTGTAACAGATGGCAGAGTGGACAGTATCCCAGTCATGGCTGATTTATCTCAGCTGATTCATGTACCCTATTCTTTTTTTTTTTTTTTTGAGAGAGAGAGTGAGTGAGCATGAGTGAGAGGGGCAGAGGGCAAAGGAGAGATAAACTCAGATTCCACACTGAGCATGTGGAGCCCGACATGGGGCTCGATCTCACAACCCTGAAATCATGACGTGTGCCAAAACCAAGAGTCAGAAGCTTAACCAACTGCACCACCCTTCCAAAACATTTCTTTTTTTTTTCTTTTTTTTTTTAAAGATTTATTTATTTATTTTGAGAGAGTGAGAATGAGAGAGAGAGAGAGAGTATATGAGTGGGGGAGGGTCAGAGGGAGAAGCAGGTTCCTCGCTGAGCAGGGAGCCCGATGCGGGACTGGATCCCGGGACTCCGGGATCATGACCTGAGCCGAAGGCAGTCGCTTAACCAACTGAGCCACCCAGGTGCCCCAAAACATTTCTTAATAAAAAGCTGAAATGTGGTTTCTACCTATCAAGTGAAATCCTCTTTT